GAGACTACCATTCCATATACCCGCTCTTAGCGTATTTTTGGCGTATTTTTAGGCTCACAGTTTTGGCCCAACTTTCAGCTTCCTTTCGGCAAACCTCTTGGCTTATTAGCATGGCACAAGACCATACTTTCTGTACAATTTTGGCCCGTTTTTGGATCTCCCTTGAGGCATATTACTTTCGACTTTCGGTCATCTGAATAAATGTTTCTGTAATGTATACACAAGTCGTCTGTTTTCTCTACAGTGTTTCTTCCTTACAGCTAATAATATATGGGCGACAGCAGCATCGCAATATTGGCCAAATCCCAAGATTTCCGAACATGAGACATAAATTCATATGGATATTGTTAAAAAGTGAATGCTGCCTCTATATTGCTGTGCTGCTGTGTCCCAATTTCATGATCTGCACTTAGCAGAAGATTTCTAAATAGGTGGGGTTACCTTAAGATCAGACACTTCTAAATGTTTATGTGGCGACAATTGTGACACGGGATATTCTCCGAGGACAGCTCTCTGATACTTTGTTATCTGGAATAAATTTTATATTCCAATATAATAGCTAATCGTTTCTAATGTAACAATAATTGTGGCTTCCTTTATAAAGGAGTGCGAATCGAGAATTGCCTTTCTTCTCTAAAACACAAGTGTCGCCACATGGGATATATTACGAGCACTTCACCCAACTAATAGCAGTAGTCGGACAAGGGATTGAGAGTGATCTCCCTTCGCCTCAGTCAATATTGGATTCCACTCGTCTCATCACCTTACTGCTGGTCTTTTGGCCCGTGGTCTTCAGAAATTGCAGAGGGCATGCTTTTATACATAGGCCGAGGCCAGGCGCAAGTAGAAAGCCTATATTGACACCCACTTGTATGCAAGAGTAGATTAATATATATATATATATATATATGACGTAATATTCGTATCTGGCATTCTACAAAAAATACCTAAATGATACAAGGGGTCTGAATTCTACCCCTGTACGTCCACATCAAGGTTTTCAAAATGGGACGGTCAATAGGATTTCTCTGACTGTGAGTGTGTGGGTGGCTAGGATTTTTTCAGAAAAAAATATATTGTCTCCAAAGTTGATTGAAAACTAAATATGCTTCCATCTGTTGGACAAAAAGAACATGTCGGCCACCAAAAATACGTTGTTGCAAGGTGGGTTTTTGAAAAATGTTTTATTTAGGCTCATAGTTTATATTAACTGATTTTGCATTTGTAGCTGCAAAATATCTAGTCTCCATACAAAATCCAACGTCGCCCACTCCCCCTTCCAAAGGAACATGAAATGGTCGGCCCCTCAGGCCTAGTGTAGTAAAAACCAATATGCTTGTCATTTATCTTTCTCTCCTATAAGCTATTTTCTGTGGTCGTCGTGTTTCCAGATTAGAAATCAAACCAAATAAGAACTGTCGCTGCACACGTTGGAAAATACCAGTACCATTGAACTTTTATTTTATCCCTGTAGGCTTGGGAATAATTCCCAAATCCCACTTGGATTATCAGAGATGTGCATTCTTACTAGCCTGCTAGCCCGTGTCAGTTTGTCGAATGTAAAAGGTATTGTGAAGGCTAGTATAATAGAGGGTCGTTATATGGTATCACTATTCGGCATAGCAAACGTTTAAGGTTAATGTCCATCTCATAGTGAACAAAATTCACCCTGTTTCGGGTAATGGAGGCACGAAAAACACCCAGTTTCACCTGCACAATTTTTTCAAACTCTGAACTGATGTAGGCAACGTTTCAGTTGTAAGATACAACTTAATACCGGTGTTCAGACGAAATAAACCCGGCAGTTTTCACCCTTGGCAATGCCATTAGGCTTTACCACGCCGGAAGCTGGCGATGAGCCTCGTTCTGACTCATCGAACTCCGTAACGTAGTTACCGTTGCCGTTATCGACGTCCCTTCTGTTTTCAACAGAAAAACGATCGCTTTTGCTCCGCTGACCTCTACGTTTCGCTCACTGCTGTATCATTCCAAGTGTGTCTTCTTCCAAGATGAATACAAGGCTTCACATTCAAGGTATTTAAGATCACAATTATTCCACTTAACAGTATTAACATGCTAAATTAGACGTGAAATTGGTCGTTGTTAGGCAGCAGTATCGGGACTGAAGATGGCGGCCGCCATTTGCAATTGTCATAACTGAAAATGTTAGATTGTAAACTTGACATGTGGTTCTCAGATGAAACCTGTTCGTACATTATAGTGTCGGGCGATGTTGTACAGATGTAAGATAACCCGTATTCCGTGAAAGGCAGCTGTTTGGCCCATTTTATTGGTTAAATGTCGTCTTGCAGCACAGCCCGTAACCCTACATACACTTGGACTTCGAGGTGTCAAAGGGCCGAGGTCGAGTGGCATACTGTAGCTGTCAGAAGTCATGAATTGTGATTTTTTGAACGTAGCCGTCGGCGTACATTTAACTGAGGCTAGCTTTCGTTTTTCTTTTTCAGCTCGGGAGGACATAATTCGCTATTATGGCACTCCTGCGGCTGTGAGTTTGTGGCCGTCTCAGGATGAGGAGTCCGACTGTGTATGTAGTTTTACATGCCCACCCTATAAATTCTTCCGTCTAGTATAGCTGATTTGTTGCACATTAAGTCTGCCCAGTCCCTATAATAAAGTGTGATTCGTTTCCTTTGCAAAAGTATCCCGTATTTCTATCTCACTTGACTTCCTTTGTCCCTCCCTCCACCCCTCGATGTGTAGCGTTCCCTGGCTGTGTCCCCTTCCCGTTGTCCCGACCCCCTGAGCGTTTTCACTCCGTTCTGGGCCCGCCCTGTCTACGGTGAGACGCTCCCCGCCCCCGTCACCATCAACCACGCCGCTTACTATCCTGCCCCAAGTGACGACGATGACAGTGACTACTGGGTGTACGAGGACGAGGACGACCACAGCTTTGTGGATGACAGAGAGATTCATCCCCTTAGAAAGGCGCTGACGAGAGCGGCTGCCTTCTTTAGGAAGATCTTCTCTTAGACTCCTTATCCTTTTAATGTCTGAATGTGTGCAAGTGAGTGAATGAATGAGCAGGTGTGTATGTATGTATGTATGTATGTATGTATGTATGTATGTATGTATGTATGTGTGCGTTTGTGTGAGAGTAAATATAAGTTTGAATGAACATGCATGTGTGTGTATGTATAAGTGTGTGAGAAAGAGAGACTGAATGAATATGTATGTTTGTGTGTGTGTGTGTGTGTGTGTATTGTGTGCGTGTGTGAGAGTAAATGAAAGATTGAATCGGCATGTCTGTCTGTCTGTCTGTCTGTATGCATGTATGTGTGTGTATTTGTGTGTGAGTGTGAGAGAGTGAATGAGCATGTATGTATAATAATGTGTGTATGTATGTTTGTATGTGTGAGAGGGAGAGTGGATGCATGTTAGAGGTGAGGGTTAGAGTGAATGAACGAGCATACATGTATGAGAGAGAGAGAGAGAGAGAGAGAGAGAGAGAGAGAGAGAGAGAGAGAGAGAGAGAGAGACTACCATTCCATATACCCGCTCTTAGCGTATTTTTGGCGTATTTTTAGGCTCACAGTTTTGGCCCAACTTTCAGTTTCCTTTCGGCAAACCTCTTGGCTTATTAGCATGGCACAAGACCATACTTTCTATACAATTTTGGCCCGTTTTTGGATCTCCCTTGAGGCATATTACTTTCGACTTTCGGTCATCTGAATAAATGTTTCTGTAATGTATACACAAGTCGTCTGTTTTCTCTACAGTGTTTCTTCCTTACAGCTAATAATATATGGGCGACAGCAGCATCGCAATATTGGTCAAATCCCAAGATTTCCGAACATGAGACATAAATTCATATGGATATTGTTAAAAAGTGAATGCTGCCTCTATATTGCTGTGCTGCTGTGTCCCAATTTCATGATCTGCACTGAGCAGAAGATTTCTAAATAGGTGGGGTTACCTTAAGATCAGACACTTCTTAATGTTTATGTGGCGACAATTGTGACACGGGATATTCTCCGAGGACAGCTCTCTGATACTTTGTTATCTGGAATAAATTTTATATTCCAATATAATAGCTAATCGTTTCTAATGTAACAATAATTGTGGCTTCCTTTATAAAGGAGTGCGAATCGAGAATTGCCTTTCTTCTCTAAAACACAAGTGTCGCCACATGGGATATATTACGAGCACTTCACCCAACTAATAGCAGTAGTCGGACAAGGGAATGAGAGTGATCTCCCTTCGCCTCAGTCAATATTGGATTCCACTCGTCTCATCACCTTACTGCTGGTCTTTTGGCCCGTGGTCTTCAGAAATTGCAGAGGGCATGCTTTTATACATAGGCCGAGGCCAGGCGCAAGTAGAAAGCCTATATTGACACCCACTTGTATGCAAGAGTAGATTAATATATATATATATATATATATATATATATATATATATATGACGTAATATTCGTATCTGGCATTCTACAAAAATACCTAAATGATACAAGGGGTCTGAATTCTACCCCTGTACGTCCACATCAAGGTTTTCAAAATGGGACGGTCAATAGGATTTCTCTGACTGTGAGTGTGTGGGTGGCTAGGATTTTTTCAGAAAAAAATATATTGTCTCCAAAGTTGATTGAAAACTAAATATGCTTCCATCTGTTGGACAAAAAGAACATGTCGGCCACCAAAAATACGTTGTTGCAAGGTGGGTTTTTGAAAAATGTTTTATTTAGGCTCATAGTTTATATTAACTGATTTTGCATTTGTAGCTGAAAAATATCTAGTCTCCATACAAAATCCAACGTCGCCCACTCCCCCTTCCAAAGGAACATGAAATGGTCGGCCCCTCAGGCCTAGTGTAGTAAAAACCAATATGCTTGTCATTTATCTTTCTCTCCTATTAGCTATTTTCTGTGGTCGTCGTGTTTCCAGATTAGAAATCAAACCAAATAAGAACTGTCGCTGCACACGTTGGAAAATACCAGTACCATTGAACTTTTATTTTATTCCTGTAGGCTTGGGAATAATTCCCAAATCCCACTTGGATTATCAGAGATGTGCATTCTTACTAGCCTGCTAGCCCGTGTCAGTTTGTCGAATGTAAAAGGTATTGTGAAGGCTAGTATAATAGAGGGTCGTTATATGGTATCGCTATTCGGCATAGCAAACGTTTAAGGTTAATGTCCATCTCATAGTGAACAAAATTCACCCTGTTTCGGGTAATGGAGGCACGAAAAACACCCAGTTTCACCTGCACAATTTTTTCAAACTCTGAACTGATGTAGGCAACGTTTCAGTTGTAAGATACAACTTAATACCGGTGTTCAGACGAAATAAACCCGGCAGTTTTCACCCTTGGCAATGCCATTAGGCTTTACCACGCCGGAAGCTGGCGATGAGCCTCGTTCTGACTCATCGAACTCCGTAACGTAGTTACCGTTGCCGTTATCGACGTCCCTTCTGTTTTCAACAGAAAAACGATCGCTTTTGCTCCGCTGACCTCTACGTTTCGCTCACTGCTGTATCATTCCAAGTGTGTCTTCTTCCAAGATGAATACAAGGCTTCACATTCAAGGTATTTAAGATCACAATTATTCCACTTAACAGTATTAAGATGTTAAATTAGACGTGAAATTGGTCGTTGTTAGGCAGCAGTATCGGGACTGAAGATGGCGGCCGCCATTTGCAATTGTCATAACTGAAAATGTTAGATTGTAAACTTGACATGTGGTTCTCAGATGAAACCTGTTCGTACATTATAGTGTCGGGCGATGTTGTACAGATGTAAGATAACCCGTATTCCGTGAAAGGCAGCTGTTTGGCCCATTTTATTGGTTAAATGTCGTCTTGCAGCACAGCCCGTAACCCTACATACACTTGGACTTCGAGGTGTCAAAGGGCCGAGGTCGAGTGGCATACTGTAGCTGTCAGAAGTCATGAATTGTGATTTTTTGAACGTAGCCGTCGGCGTACATTTAACTGAGGCTAGCTTTCGTTTTTCTTTTTCAGCTCGGGAGGACATAATTCGCTATTATGGCACTCCTGCGGCTGTGAGTTTGTGGCCGTCTCAGGATGAGGAGTCCGACTGTGTATGTAGTTTTACATGCCCACCCTATAAATTCTTCCGTCTAGTATAGCTGATTTGTTGCACATTAAGTCTGCCCAGTCCCTATAATAAAGTGTGATTCGTTTTCTTTGCAAAAGTATCCCGTATTTCTGTCTCACTTGACTTCCTTTGTCCCTCCCTCCACCCCTCGATGTGTAGCGTTCCCTGGCTGTGTCCCCTTCCCGTTGTCCCGACCCCCTGAGCGTTTTCACTCCGTTCTGGGCCCGCCCTGTCTACGGTGAGACGCTCCCCGCCCCCGTCACCATCAACCACGCCGCTTACTATCCTGCCCCAAGTGACAACGATGACAGTGACTACTGGGTGTACGAGGACGAGGACGACCACAGCTTTGTGGATGACAGAGAGATTCATCCCCTTAGAAAGGCGCTGACGAGAGCGGCTGCCTTCTTTAGGAAGATCTTCTCTTAGACTCCTTATCCTTTTAATGTCTGAATGTGTGCAAGTGAGTGAATGAATGAGCAGGTGTGTATGTATGTATGTATGTATGTATGTATGTATGTATGTATGTATGTATGTATGTATGTATGTGTGCGTTTGTGTGAGAGTAAATATAAGTTTGAATGAACATGCATGTGTGTGTATGTATAAGTGTGTGAGAAAGAGAGACTGAATGAATATGTATGTTTGTGTGTGTGTGTGTGTGTGTATTGTGTGCGTGTGTGAGAGTAAATGAAATATTGAATCGGCATGTCTGTCTGTCTGTCTGTATGCATGTATGTGTGTGTATTTGTGTGTGAGTGTGAGAGAGTGAATGAGCATGTATGTATAATAATGTGTGTATGTATGTTTGTATGTGTGAGAGGGAGAGTGGATGCATGTTAGAGGTGAGGGTTAGAGTGAATGAACGAGCATACATGTATGAGAGAGAGAGAGAGAGAGAGAGAGAGAGAGAGAGAGAGAGAGAGAGAGAGAGAGAGAGAGAGAGAGAGACTACCATTCCATATACCCGCTCTTAGCGTATTTTTGGCGTATTTTTAGGCTCACAGTTTTGGCCCAACTTTCAGTTTCCTTTCGGCAAACCTCTTGGCTTATTAGCATGGCACAAGACCATACTTTCTATACAATTTTGGCCCGTTTTTGGATCTCCCTTGAGGCATATTACTTTCGACTTTCGGTCATCTGAATAAATGTTTCTGTAATGTATACACAAGTCGTCTGTTTTCTCTACAGTGTTTCTTCCTTACAGCTAATAATATATGGGCGACAGCAGCATCGCAATATTGGCCAAATCCCAAGATTTCCGAACATGAGACATAAATTCATATGGATATTGTTAAAAAGTGAATGCTGCCTCTATATTGCTGTGCTGCTGTGTCCCAATTTCATGATCTGCACTTAGCAGAAGATTTCTAAATAGGTGGGGTTACCTTAAGATCAGACACTTCTAAATGTTTATGTGGCGACAATTGTGACACGGGATATTCTCCGAGGACAGCTCTCTGATACTTTGTTATCTGGAATAAATTTTATATTCCAATATAATAGCTAATCGTTTCTAATGTAACAATAATTGTGGCTTCCTTTATAAAGGAGTGCGAATCGAGAATTGCCTTTCTTCTCTAAAACACAAGTGTCGCCACATGGGATATATTACGAGCACTTCACCCAACTAATAGCAGTAGTCGGACAAGGGATTGAGAGTGATCTCCCTTCGCCTCAGTCAATATTGGATTCCACTCGTCTCATCACCTCACTGCTGGTCTTTTGGCCCGTGGTCTTCAGAAATTGCAGAGGGCATGCTTTTATACATAGGCCGAGGCCAGGCGCAAGTAGAAAGCCTATATTGACACCCACTTGTATGCAAGAGTAGATTAATATATATATATATATATATATATATGACGTAATATTCGTATCTGGCATTCTACAAAAATACCTAAATGATACAAGGGGTCTGAATTCTACCCCTGTACGTCCACATCAAGGTTTTCAAAATGGGATGGTCAATAGGATTTCTCTGACTGTGAGTGTGTGGGTGGCTAGGATTTTTTCAGAAAAAAATATATTGTCTCCAAAGTTGATTGAAAACTAAATATGCTTCCATCTGTTGGACAAAAAGAACATGTCGGCCACCAAAAATACGTTGTTGCAAGGTGGGTTTTTGAAAAATGTTTTATTTAGGCTCATAGTTTATAACTGATTTTGCATTTGTAGCTGAAAAATATCTAGTCTCCATACACAATCCAACGTTGCCCACTCCCCCTTCCAAAGGAACATGAAATGGTCGGCCCCTCAAGCCTAGTGTAGTAAAAACCAATATGCTTGTCATTTATCTTTCTCTCCTATTAGCTATTTTCTGTGGTCGTCGTGTTTCCAGATTAGAAATCAAACCAAATAAGAACTGTCGCTGCACACGTTTGTATATACCAGTACCATTTAACTTGCCGTTATAGCGCGCACGTGATTGCATCTCGTTTCGGTGATCGCTCGGCTTGATTGGAAGAGAGAAATATTTATCCAAAAATGATGAACAAAATATACTCCTGATAAGACATAGCTTACTACCTATCTGTCAAATTTCCCAAATTACAAATCTAAAACCTATTCGAGCTTTTTTTCCAAAAATGCTTAACCTTGTATATATCGTGGAATTCATAGTACACAGTGTTGAGAATAAACACGTGTAAATTTGCAGACGACAAATTGATAAAAGCATTTCTTATTAGCTGTAATGAATATAAAAATTGAGTGCGATACCAGAGAAAATAGAACACGTAATTTGTGTAACTGAAGCGGTGTGTCACGTGCTGTTTAGATGATGGCGATAACTGGTACAGTTGGTCGACGGTAAATCTCTATTTCCGCTGTTTTCATTCCCTGTCGTCGCGTTATAACCGAAATCTACTGATTTTTTTTCCAAAGGATGGAAATACGCGCATTTTCACACAAATCAATATTATTTGCACAGTTAACTTTGTACACGGAATATTTCAGATATAACATGAAAAAAATGGCGATAACTGGTCGGTGACCAGTAGTTTAAAATTTGGAGTGGACCCAAAATGGCCTTGATCCTTCCTTGCCCTCTTTTGAAAAAGTCCCAGCCTCGCATAACCGATTTAACATGTAACCGATTTGTGTCTGAGATACTATCCACGACGTTATTTTGAGCTCACTCACTCACTCACTCACCTTGGCGTGCAGTTATTCAAAACACAACTAATTTATTTATAAAAGATGTGACTTGTCAATTTTTGTAGTCATGTTGTTTAGATATATTGAACTGTTCACTATAATTATGTCACCAAACGAGTTAGTTGTACTGTTGTGATAGGTTTCCTTTTGGTATGCCCCTTTCGAGGTGGTGAGGTGACGCAGTTTAACATGGACACCCCACTCAAACACAATGTAATGACTCCGAGCCAACCAGGGCCCCGTTCCTCAAAGCGATCTTAGCGCTACGATGATCGTAAGCCTATGTTAAAGAATGAGACTTACGATCACCTTAGCACTAAGATCGCTTTGGGAAACAGGGCCCTGGGCCCCGTTCCACATAGCAATCTTAGCGCTACGATTGTCGTAAGTCTATGTTAAAGTATGGAAGTTACGATCACCTTAGCGCTAAGATCGCTTTGTGCAAGTGGGCCCAGTACTTGTTTTATCGACCCCCTCCATGCCGAGGACAAGGGTAACAGCAGGTACCATCTTTCAACGTCATATGGTATGCCTGGGATCGAACCACCGACCGCCAGCTCTCGGGGCAGACGCTCTATCAACTAGACCATGGATGCGATAGAGCTTTCGACGGTATAAAATTGTGGTATATTTTTTAAAAGTGGGCGCGCGAGTTCATACTCCACCTGTCTTCAAACTTATGTTTATTCAATGACATCTTTCAACATGTGTGTTATCATTGCATGGAAGTCAATCTCATGCTAAAATGTACCGTCACCATGTAAATTGTGAATGACAGTTTGTTGGTTGACATTTGAAATTTTCAGAAATTGAATTTGACCTAAAGCCATTGATACTGAGTGAGGGGCCCTTGATTATTTTAAAATTTAACATTTCTGCTGGTTATGTCCAACATTACACATGCCGTCTCTGTTCATTGTGTTTGATTCATATGGGTCAACTTGACCTGTCTTTCGTGAAAGTATTTGAGCTGTCGGAAAAAAACACGGACGAATAGTTTGAATATCTAAGAAATGACAGTGGAATAGTCCGAGACATCACATCGCCTTCTTTAACAGACAGAGGGAAAGGTGTCTCAATCGACTAAGACGCCGCGAATCGCCGTGCATGCAAAAGTTGCGTCCCTTCGACATGTCAAAAACCTATGTGTGTTCGAATCTCCGATAAACCCTGACTGTGTTTCTAGGTTTGTCAGCTCCATGGCTCCATGGCTCCATGGCTCCATTGTCAACATCTACATCACTTCAGACTTGCCTCCCTTACCAATTTAGCTGACACGCTGTGTTCAAAGCGAGTCAAACCCAGCTCACTCACTCACTATTTCACAGTCCCCGCTCAAGCTGACATGATAATGGGGTTGTTCCTGCGTTTCATATGGTTGACTGTGTGTCGTCATACCCCGATGGAGTGGATCGGTGCTCATGTCACTGGTTTGCCGGTAGCAGACTTGATTATTTACAGGCCGACGTCATGTAGTTGTACCTTGAACATTGCTGCCGACACCCAAAACATCATTTTTTTCATTCAGTACTTTCATAGTTGTATGTGGCTTTCAAGGTATAGGTAGCTCGTCTACCGACCCCCCAAATTTTCTCATTATTTTGACGTGATGTGTGGAAATAATATATTGTTTCATTGTTTAAAGAGCAATTCATTTTTGTTAAATTGATCGAGATAAAATTATTTTACCCTTTTCAAGTTTGCTAGGACTGAGTCTATAGTAATCCGACCAGTGTATATATACGATCAAATACAATTGTTCCTTATTCTGAATGTAGGAAATATGTTCGTGGTTGTTTGGAGCCGGAGTTCTGGTTATATGGTTATCTCCCTTTGACCACGGATTCTGTTCCACATCGCTCGAAGCGCCGCCACAAGCGAGCTTGGAGAAACAAGACATTCGTGTTTTGGTATATGACTCTTTAAACGTCTTTCGACAAT